CTTTGCTTACGGGCCCATCCCCAGTTCCAAGAAAACATGAGCTTCTTAAAACAAAGTTGAAAATCTAGTGGCTTTCGAGTCAGCTGGCAGTGTTTCTGCATTTTTAAGCAGGCTTGGATATCGGGGGCAGCTTAGTGTTCACTCTGTAACTGACCTCACTGAGCCAAGTTCAGCGTGGTGTGAGTTATCAAACCTGACAGCCTTTTGGCAAGCCTTTGAAGGCTCTCAGGCCAGACTCCCTTCCAAGCTCAGCTGGGATCAATTAGGATAAATAATAGTTCTTGCAATTGTTAGTTTCCACCATGCTTTTAAAAATTATTTAGTGTGCAATAATGCAATTTATGGCTTACCTGTACCATGCTATCCATTCAAAACAAAATAAGATCAAATCGAAAGGTTAAAATGTCCTGAGAGTTGTAGAACAATACAGTGAGGGAAAAGTACCAGAGAGGCCAATATTTTGACCATTCTTTCCTCTCCACATTTATCTAAAACATAAGTAAACATAAATACAAAACTATAATATTTCTTCAAAATCTGGATTCTCAGCCCAACAGCAATATTTTGACAGTCTGGTTAAAACATAAACCATAAATACACACACACACACGTACACACACACACACACACATGCACATACACAATCAAGGACTTTTAACTGCCCTCAGCAACCAAAGAGATCTGCTAGTAAACAACGCAGATTTTTACTTCTAGGACAAAAAATGAATTTGCGCTCAAGCTATTGGTGAAGAGCAAATGGAAGGTACTCTATAGAAGCTAGCAGTACAACAGCAAATGATAATTTTCTACAGCAAGAGTAAGGCCGTATTCAATAATGCTAATGTTCTGGCTTCATGTGAACTAAGTTTGGCTTTTACTAGGTGTTTCTCTTCATGTGGCCCAGGGCAAGGTATTGCAACTATTTCATGCTGAACTTTAAAACTTCACTGTTTGCAAGAAGTTTCCTTTTTAACCTTAGTTCTCCAGTTGCTACTGGAATCATGAAACTATCATGGCACTTCTTTAATGACTGTGTACGTTTGACTTTGGTCCTTATAAAATGTAACTTCTTGTTTAAAACAATGGTAAGTTAAAATGTTACTCTACATTTGCCTTGTAAGTGTTTTTTGCTTCACTTGGAGTCTTCTTTCTTGGCCTCCCATGCTTAAATTTTTTACAAAAAAGATTTATTATTAATAGGAATGTCTGGGTTTTTGTTTCCTTTTTCATTCGGAGATAAAAAGGTATTTGAAGTTCTATTATAGAAAACTTTTACATAAGTCACAAGAATTAAGAATTTTTTTTTCCAGGTAGATTTTCCCACTAAATAAATATCTTTGTTAATTTAGAGTGATAGTCAAAAATCGTATGAATACTGTGGATAAAAAAGTTTAATAATGTTTACAAACATCCAAACAGCCCCTTGAATGCAGTTGATGGTTAGCTCCTAGTCAGCTAGACTCCTCTTTCAGTAATGTCCCTGGTAACTGCTAAGGATACAGTGATGCTTAGATACGCATCTTTGCTCTTCCAAAGCTAACTACTATGCCTAGATGACTTACGTGCTCTCTCCAGCTCAACCTCTAAATTTACACAGTTGTTGGAGCTGGGATTGAATTCCAAAACACAGTCCATTTTGTACAGAGCATTTTAAAAAGAGCACAGTATATCATTTGGTTAAGTAATGCATAGAGTATTTCATTGTTCTTCAATATAAAGGCTCTGTATACGGGGGGTGTATGTGTGTGTGTGCACATATGTGCTTGTGCGTGTATACACTATCAGATGACTCTGAAGAACATGGTGTAACATTATATGTTCAAATTATCTTACAGATCTTTTTTTATTGCTGACTTCTAATTGAAAGCTAATGAAAAATATACTACCAAATTCAGGGTAACAAAAATATTTAATTCTGCTTAATTTAACAAACATTTATAGCCTTAATATATGTTTCCACAGTTTGAAATATGGGAGATGCAAAAGATAGAAGGCTTAGTTTCTAGTCATAAGGGAATTTAGAATGTTCATGAAAATTTTCCATAGAAAAATAATAAAGAAGTAGCATTAAAAGATGGCTAATAATCCAAAGTAAGTGCTCACAAATTAGCAGTTACCATAACAGGAAGAAGGAAGGGCTGATTATGGACTGACATATTAATGGAAGATTTCATCACAAATGGATAATTGCCTCTAAATAATATAGACATGACTTTACAACATATTGTAGCGTATTTTACTCCTGCAAGTGATATTTATCAGTTATGTTATCTTGTTTATCTATACAATTTTTCTTATACTTATTTCAATATAAATCAATTATGCCCATAGGAAAAGAATCTTTGATGACTCACTATATCTATTTTGCACAGATTTTCTGAAGGCAAACACCAATAGAAACCACTCTGTAGTTCAAGGCTAGGTCCAGAGTTTTGAGTCAGAAATGTTTACTTGTATTTTTGTCAGTTTGTTTCGCTTTTATATAAATGACATTGTTTTTAAATTAGTCATATTTTTCTTTCTTATTCATGTTTTTTTCTATTAGTGTTAACTTTAATATTTTTAATTCATTCTTCAGTTTTTCTTCTATTTTTTATTTGGGGCTTGGTATATAACTTTCAAATGTACATTTTTTTATATAAATGCAACTAATTTAATATCTTTAGAAATCTTTCTTTTAGTGTTTTAGCATTATTATTTTACTATTTAATGCTAATATATAAGACAAAATTAATGAAAGTATAAATCTATGATGTTACATCTTCCGCAGTTTACTTTAAAATAGTTCAAAGTAAGCAGTGGCATGTGTATAGGTAGAAAAGTTAATTGCAATCTCCAACCTAGAGCTGTTAGATCACACTTGAAGGGTGTTATCTGAAATCCATATTCTATAATTAGCTAACAAAAGCACATAAAGTATTACCAACTTAATGTACACCAGCAAGAAGTCTGATAGTTTGTCTCCAAAGATGGCCCCAAAGGAGCCAGCCTTCCAGATCCTGTGTAGTTTTTGCCCACAAAGAATGGTGAGGTAATTCTGGACCTACACTTTAAGAAATGCTGTTGATTTTTAACTTTGAGATCTTGGGAGTATTGAGCAGCCATGAAAGATGTCCAGTTACACCTGCTGGAGAGACTGTGTGAGATACCCTAAGACAGTGTGTATTAGGGTTTTACAGAAGGTCAGAACTAATAAGATAGACGTACATATAGATATATGAGTTGATTAAGGAGTATTGACTCACACGATCACAAGGTGAGGTCTCGCAATAGGCTGAAGCTGAGGAGCAAGGAAGCCAGTCCGAATCCCAAAGCTGAAGAACTTGCAGTCTGATGTTCGAGGGCAGGAAGCATCCAGCGCAGGATAAAGATGTAGGCCAAAAGACTAAACCAGTCTAGTCTTTTCGCATTCTTCTGCCTGCTTTTATTCTGGCCGTTACTGGCAGCTGATGAGATGGTGTCCACCCAGATTGAGGGTGGGTCTGTCTTACCCAGTCCACTGACTCAAATGTTAATCTCCTTTGGCAACACCCTCACACACACACCCAGGAACAATACTTTGCATCCTTCAATCCAATCAAGTTGACACTCAATATTAACCATCACACCATGTAACAAAGAGAAAGGCACAGTTGTCTCCATGTTCCAGTTGAGCTTGTAACGACAGCCAGTCCAGGCACTTTCTCAATGCAACTACATGAGAAATCCCAGGCGAAACAAGCAAAAGAATGAAGTGCATTGAGAAGAACCGAAGACTTAGCAATAAAGAAACAAGTTAAAATAGAGGAAAAACAAACAAACAAACAAACAAACAACAACAAAAAGGAAACAAGCCATCATTGGAGACTGAATGCATTACTTTCTTAGCCTGATAAAATGTATTTGCCAAAAAAAAAAAAAAAAAAAAAAACCTTATGGTTAACATATTTTATGGTGAAAAAACTCATCCTGCTTAAGATCAGAAACAAGGCAATAATGTCCATTTTTAGCACTTTTATTCAGCACTGCGCTAAAAGACTTGGGCAGTGGAAGAAAGTAAGAAAAAAATAAGTCAAAACAATACATATGTGTTTGCAAATGGCATAATAATTTGTATACACAATTTTAAATAATCCACAAAATATATCTTACAACTCCTAAGTAAATGTAATAAGATTACAGGTATGTTGTAAATATATGACAGTCTTATGTATTTCAATATAATGATAATGAACAATTACAAAATGAGATATAAAGACACATCTGTTAAAATAGTACTGTACTGGGTTAAATATTCTCCTCCAAATTCATGTCTACCTGAAACTTGTGAGTGTGATCTTATTCGGAAATAGGGTTTTTGCAGATGTAATCAAGTTAAAATATGGTCATGCTAGAGTAGGGTTCGACCTGATAAAAAGAAACAAATTTGAATGCAGAGACACCAGCACAGGGCGGAAAGAACACCGCATGAAGAAAGGAGGATGAGATTGGAGGGATGAGTTGACAAGCCAAGGAAGACAAAGATTGCCAGGAAACAACAGAAGCCAGAAGAAATTTTATGTTGTTTAATTTTTGATTTTTGGGGTACATAGTAGGTGTATGCATTTATCAGTACCCGAGATATTTTGATACAGACATACGATGTGTAATATCACATCAGGGTAAATGGGGTACCTGTCACCTCAGGTACTTATCCTTTCCTTGTGTTACAAATATTTCAATTATACTATTTTGGTTATTTTTGAATGTACAATAAATTATTGTTGGCTGTAGTTACCATGTTGTTGTATCAACAGGTATTAACCCTATCAAACTGTATTTTTGTACCCATTAACCATTCACATTCCTCACTCCCACTATCCTTCCAAGCATCTGGTAACCATCATTCTATTCTCCATCTCCATGAGTTCAATTGTTTTAATTTTTAACTCTCACAAATAAGTGAGAATATATGAAGTTTGTCTTTCTGTGTATGGCTTATTTCACTTAACATAATGACCTCCAGTTCCATCCATGTTGTTGCAAATGACAGGATTTCATTCTTTCTACTGCCGAATAGTACTCCATTGTGCATTTGTACTGCATTTTATTTATCCATTCAACTCCTGATAACACTTAGGCTGCTTTCAAATTTTGGAAGCCAAAATAATTTTTGAGAAAATCAACCAGATAATTGTCAAATTTATATGGAAATACAAAGGACCTTCAATAGCAGATTTTGAGGGCTTACAGGATATGATTTCAAGATTATAAAGCTGTGTTATAAGACAATGCAGCAAAGCATTAGAAAAAAGATGGAACAGGATATAACTGTATTAGTCCATTCCCTCACTACTATAAAGAACTACCTGAAACTGGGTAATTTATAAAGAAAGGAGATTTCATTTGTTCACAGTTCTACAAGCTGTACGGGAAGCATGTTTGGGGAGACCTCAGGAAACTTTCAATCATGATGGAAGGCGAAGGGCAAGCAGTCATGTCTTACATGGCCAGAGCAGGAGGAAGAGAGAGTGGGGAGGCGTTACGCACTTTTAAACAACCAGATTTCATAAGTCACCCACTGTCATAAAAACAATACCAAAGGGAAAATTTGTCCCCACGAACCAATCACTCCCCACCAGGCCCCACCTCCAACACTGGGGATTTCAATTTGACATGCTTTGGGTGGGGACACAGACTCAAACCGTATCAACACGCAAACACATATAGTCAATTGCTTTTTTGAAAAAGTTCAAGGACATTTAATGGGAAAAGAATTATCTTCAATAAACTAGTGCTAGGACAACTGAATATCAACCTAAAAGTTGTGTATCTATTCTTACCTCACCTCATCCACAAAATTAACTCAAAATGGATTATAGATTTAACATATGAGCTGAAATATAAACTTAAAGAAAGAAAATGTAGGTGTATATCTTTATCATCTTGTATAGCACTAGCCATGCAAGAAAAAAAAAATAAGTTGACTTTATATGGGACTTATATATTCAAATTTTATAAAAGAAAAACGTATTAATAATGATAAAGTAAACTGTGGTTTAGAAACTGGACAAAAATGTGAACAACAATTTCATAAAAGAAGGTATGAAATGTCAAGTAAATAAATGTAAACATTCACAATTAGCTGTCAGGTATACAGAAATTACAACTAAAGTGAAATATTACTACGCAAACAGAAAATCCCATCAAAACAACTTTTGATGACTTGACATGTAACTTTTTTTTTACTTTAAAATGATGCAAAAGCAATACACATTCAGTAGAAAGCAGTAGAATACCCTCTTGCGGTGTTGGGCAGCGGCAGGGAGCTAAGGCTTCCAGTCAGCCACAAGATCACCAGGGTAAACAAGAGATACTCTACAGTTTGCTGTGTTGCCAGATGATTTTGCTCAACCATAGAATAATGTAAGTGTTGTGAGCCTGTTTAAGGTAGGCTAGGCTAAACTATGATGTTTGATAGTTAAGGTGTATTAAAAATGCATTTTCAACTTATGATTTTTTCAACTTAACAATGGGTTTACTGGGGCATAAACCCATCGTGAGTTGAGGAGCATCTAGTACTAAAATGGCTAAAAATAAGACCAACAATATCAGGTGATAGAACATAGAGCGACAGGAAAACACCACCAAAGAACTACCTGAAACTGGGTAATTTATAAAGAAGTTATTTATAACTTATAAACTGCTGATACATATAAAATATATAAAATGAAACAACTAATTTGCAAAAGACATTGTGGTATAATCACACAACCCTAGTTGGAAACAAAAGATATGAATTACTGATACCCCAAATGACATAGATAAATCTCAAAAGCACCACGCTGAACAAAAGGAGTCAGACACAAGAGCACACAGTTATTTGGATCCACTTACATGACATCTAGGACAGGCAGAACACCAGTCGACAATGACTGAATTCAGATCCATTGGTGTCTGTGTTGAGGACTGGGGAAGATTGCCTACAGAACAGTATAAAGGAACATTTTGAGAAGATAAAAATGATCTAATTTTTAATTGTGGTGGTTACATTGATATGTACAGTTAGCAAAACTTATCAAATTGTACTCTTAATATGGTCATTTAATTATATGTAAATCATACTTCAATAAAAGTCAATGTCTTTCAAAAACACCACAAAAAGATACCACCAACAGGGAGTAGAGTGACTAAAATTTGTTAAAGATTTACCATAAGTCCATTCTGTTGAAGATTATGTGCAGTCACAGGAAACTTTTATATACTTTGATTGAAGGTATAAAAAATAGCACAGCTACTTTGGAAAACAACTGTTCTATTTAAAACAGTTTTATATAATGTTAAAAATAAAAATATCACATGACTCAGTAATATCATTCTGATAACAAAAATAAAAATGTATCTATCATAAGATCTGTTCCAAATTTTTGTTAACATTTCAAATATCCCCAAACTGAACACCCTAAATGTTCATTAACAACTGAAGAGATAAAGAAATTACACTACATTCATGTAATGGAATATTACTAAACTGTAAGAAAAAAAACCTCCTGATATATGCAACTGATGCATAGATGAATCTTAAAATATTATGCTGAGGAAAAGGAGCCAAACACATAAGCATACAAATTAAATGATTCATATATATATAAAACTCTACAACATAAAAACTAATCTTTAACAATAAAAATCGTACCAAATCCATACAAAAACCTACACATGAATGTTTATACCAGTTTTATTATATTTTATTTTATGTTTTGAGACAGGATCTCACTCTGTCACCTAGACTGAAGTGTGGTGGTGCAGTCTCAGCTCACTGCAGCCTCGACCTCCCGAGCTCAAGCGATCCTCCCACCTCAGCCTCCCAAGTAGCTAGGACTACAGGTGTGCACTACCATGCCCGGCTAATTTTCATATTTTTTTTAGTCACAGGGTTTTGCCAGGCTGCTCTCGAACTCCTGAGCTCAAGTGATCTGCCCACCTCGGCCTCCCAAAGTGCTGGGATTACAGGTTGAGTCACCACACCCCGCCACAGTTTTATTTTTAATTGTCAAAACTTGGAGACAAACAAGATTTCCTTCAGTGGAGGAACAGAAAAATAAACAATGGAAGAAATGAATAACAAGAGATGAATAAGCAGAACACAGAGTTTTATGGCAGTTAAACTACTCTAAATGATACATCAATGGTAGATACATCTCACTATATATTTGTCAAAAGCCATATAATATATATACAAGAGTGAACCCTTATGTAAACCCTGAATTTGGATGATAATGATGTGTCAGGTTAGGTGCGTCAATCATAATAAATGTACCACAGTGGTGGGGGATACTGATAATGGAAGAGGCTACTCTTATTTGGGGGCAGGGGATATGTGAGAATCCCTGTACTTACTGCTCAATTTCACTGTGAAACTAAAACAGTTAAAAAAAAAAAAAAAAAAAGTCTATTTAAAAGGGGAAAATCATTTCAAGGTTGCCTGACAGAAAGCATTAGTCTTTTCTGCAGAGTCATGATAGACACTTTCAGGATTATGGGAATGTTCTAAGTTATCAGGTAGTGGTTACATGACTGCATATATTTTTTTAAATTAATGCAACCATACACTCAAAATGGATTAATTTTAATTACACCTCAATGAACTTGATTAGAAATAATTTTAAAGGCATATTTTAGCAGAGGGGGGCATTAGGTAGACTTGGCAATTATCGACTTAGGAAAAAAGATATATTTGGAAATAGCAAGAATATGAAGTTCACAAGCTGTTCATGGTATTGGCAGCACTCTTATGCCCAATTAATGACCCTCCCTTATGCATGCACTTTGGGCTATATCTTTTGTAAAATTTTCATCTTTTGTGGGTACACAGTAGGTGCATATATTTATGGAAGACATGCAATATTTTAATACAGGCATACAATGCATAATAATCACATCAAGTTAAATGGGGTATCTGTCACCTCAAGGACTTATCCTTTCTTTGTGTTACAAACAATCCCATTATACTCTGTTAGTTATTTTAAAATCTACAACAAATTATTGTTGACTGTAGTTTGAATGAGATCTTTGGGCCACATCTTTGCAGTGCTCGTCCACTTCATTTGACCCATGTTAAGATAGTCAATGTAATGTCAGCTGATGTTTGCATTATATTTCTGCCTTGGTACTCTTATTTGGCTGCACTTACTCATTCCAATGACTCTGCATTCAACCAAAAGAACTTCATTAGGCTGTAATTCTGCATAGAAGGGAGACAGGACTGAGAGAGCTACCTTTTCCTAGCCATCCTAGATAAGTAATTTGTAGATCATCCCCCCAGCCAGTTAACACATTCACATGTGAGGAAAAGATTTCCCCAGCAGAGTCCAGCCTAAATGTTGATCCACAGTGAATTCAGTTTTAGGATGGTTTTTATGGTCTATGGAGCACTTCATATAAAAGTAACTTTTAACGAAAATGATTTTTAAATAATTTATACTTTCTCCTAGTAAACATTTTGACAATATAATTTAAAAGAGATGGACTCAAGTGTTTAATGGGCCAAGACTTTCCTATATAGGTTAGAAATTTGGGGTTAGAAAAGGCTGTTTTAAGCCACAAAGTTAAATTTTTGAATAAATTAATACCAACTGTGATTCATATTATTGGTGTATTTTGCTTTACACCAATAAGTTGATAGTAGATGTATGTGGAGTTAAGTCATGGATGATTCTTAGGTTTAAATTATTTTCTTGTTTCTGTGGGATCCCATGACTTAACAGACATCACTCACCTCTATTATCTTTATTTATATGTATTTTTTTGGCTTATTTCAAAGTAAAATGGTTCTTACCCTAGTTGTTTCCCTCCCTCTCTTGATTTCTATTCCCTGGCCACGTTTTCACCTGATGAAGCATAGTCCAGTGTTAGGCAAAATTCTGTGAAAAACAGTATTTGGTGTAATGATATTTCCCTTGAATTTTAAATTCTAAGTAGAGATTCTTGGTGTTAATATCGTCTTCCAGTGAAATCCATTAGACTAAGAATTAATTATACCTTATAAAATAAAAATACTATCAACTTTAAACCAATTTTTAAAAATTTTTTGATAAGAGGAAAAAGGGGGGCAGGCACTATTTTTAACCTGCTTTTATTATTAAATACTCAAAGCATAATAACTGACATGCCAAATAAAGGCTTTGACAGATGCTTATTAAAGCATGTGGACTCAAAGGGCTTGTATGAGTGGAAAAATGACAAATCAATATCAGGTACATCATTTTCTTATGCACTTTACTCATTTCTATGACACAGAATCATTAAGGATTGTATTCGTAAATGTCATGCTGCAAATTAAATTTGTGTCATAAACCTGTTAGTATTAGAAGGAAAAGCAAAAATTATGATTTTCTGCTCACAATACTGAATAAAAGTTTTACCATTTTATTAATATATGTAGTGGTGATTGAGAAATTTTTAAATTAGCTTTTTACAGTAAGCTACACTTTTGATTTCTCAAGTATTTTCTACTGCTTCATGATTTAAATATTTGCTCTTCTTTAAAATATCCACTTAAAAAAAGTTACCACTTCCAGAAATGTTTAACTTCATGTTTGTCAGTTCTAATACTTGCCTATACCAATCAAACTTAGATTTCCGATTTGGCCTACTATTCTTCCAAAAACAGGTTATAATGAGAAGTGGTTGTTTCTTCTGACTGAAATTGAACATAGTATACAATACAGTATCTATTGTCCACCAATGTGACCAAAGCAGAAGTAACAAGCTACCTGGGCTCTTCTTGTTGGCCTGTCGGAAAACATGTTATTACCATCCCACAAACACCATATAAACTAACTTCAGCATAGTAATGAAGTCAACCAATTCTGGTCATCTGAAAGGCTTCGACCCTAATCCTGATCATGCCAGTGGAAGGGATAGTAAGGTAACAAGATATGACAGGTTTGTTTCTATCATATCAAATGGCTATTAGAGAAAAAGGTAGGTTCTTCTGTAATCTTAAAGCTTAGAAGCTCCATAGCTTTGAGGGCCGCCCTCTTCTCCCAGAGCCTTTCATCTTACCCTGCCAGACCTCCTGCAGCACTGGAATGAGGGTGCGGCTTGTGAGTTTTACCCAGTGAATGCTTTACTAACAACCCAGGCTGGAAGAAAGGTGCTACTTAACCATTCACTGCTCTGATTTGTATGACTTATTGTTTATTACATACGTTTCCTTTTTTATTGATTTCATAGTGAAAGCTTACCTTAAAAATTTATGCTCCTCCCATTTTTCTCGACTTTTCTTTTTTTATTCTATATATTTTACCTCCTCTTTTTTCAAATTATATTTTAAACAAACTGTTATGTATGAATGAGAGAAAAATGTGAGAAAGAGCCATGAAACTACATATACTATACATTTATATTAAAAACAAAATATTTTATTAGTTTTATTTTGGTGCTATATTGTAGTTTTACCGTAATAAAACCACATTAATTTATCAGCAACATCCAATAGCATTAGAATAGCTTAAGACTGCAAAGATAGAAAATATAGAGCACAAATATTACAGGGTGTTTAATAAATTATTCCAACCATCCATGTTTAAGTCAATGTTAGTTTAATTAGAAATTTTCAGATCAGCTATTTACAAGGCATAAACCATTCCCATCACTTTTATTCCATGAATTGTACACAGTACAGAGCCATTTACACATTCTTTTATTTCTCTAGGAAAATATATAGTGATTATCAAGGTAGTTACTGCAAGAGTAAAGATGAGAAAGCTACCTGAATATTACAAAAATAAAGTATGAATACACACCATATGTAAGTTATTCTTATAACAAGCACACGTAATTTTGACAAATGAATCTTAAAATTGTCAATGGGAATAAATTTACACCAGGTGTCCTTTTTAAATAAATTGTTTCAGGAACGTGAATTATTGTATTAAAGCGTACATTATTCATCCTTTTTGTCATTGCTTTTCCATGT